ACCACCTCTGCTCATCTCTTGCCTTGAAAACCCAACGTGGGCTGGTATTTGGCAACACTTTCCATCCCCCCCCCCACCGATCGCCGAACACAAGTAATACTTGTAATAATAACAGCAATAATAGTAAGAGCAAACTCGAGCAAACTCAGTTTTGCCATTCTCTTTATTGCCTTTTAATTACGTGACAGTCCTCTTGGATTGGAGTTACCGGCGGCAAGGAAAAAAAGAAAGAAATCACATGCACACATTATTTATGTTGCGGATTGTTAATGCGGCTCTTAAAATTCCTCCGGTTATTTTTGATTGAATTGTTTCTTTTTTAAAAAAAAAAAAATCTTCTTCCTTCTCCCGTCTCTCTCCCCCCCTCCTGTTTTTTTTTTGGGGTGTGTGTGATTCCGTCGCTTAATGGAGCGGTAAATAAGAATTTCTGATAATGAGCCCAAGCATCTGTCACAACAACCTGGCTCTGGTTATTAACATTTCCATTAACGGCAGGCTGGGCAGCGATAATATGGAAACAGCACAGTTAGAACAAAATAAATAGTTGGTGTCAGGCTGAGTGGGTGTTAATTACTATTTTATTTTATAACCCCTGAGAGAAAGAGGGTAAAAAAAAAAAATGTCGCTTATGAAGGTCATTGTATATGTGTGTATACAAATATATATATGTCTCTCTGTGTGTATTTAAAAATAAGCTCTCGGGAGGAACCGATAACCTGGACCGCCTCCCTTGGGTAGAGAGCAATGTTCCCTCTAAGCTGTGGAGTCTTGTGAGCAAAAATTCTACTTCGTGAGCTACCGGAATTAAAGTTGTGAGCCAGTCATTTGGCTACTGCATAAATTGGTTTGCTCTGGAGCCATCCTGCCTGAGCTAAGACAAAAATGTGTGAGCTGGAGGCTAAAAAACTGTGAGCTGGCTCACACTAACTCAGCTTAGAGGGAACAGTGGTAGAGAGTGCCATATAGCTTTGATTTGCCATGTGCTAAATGGGCATAGAGCATGAAGGCAGCTCCCGTGGCAGGCAAGGGAACGGGTGGGTTATGGGGAGGGGCCGTGACCCCGTGGCAGCGCACCTAGTTGCGGCAGGTGGGAAAGACCCGTGCTTGAGATCCAGGAGAGCAGCTGTCAGTCAGAGTAGAGAAGACTCAGCTGGACGGAGCAAAGGTCAGATTCGGGAGAAGGCAGCCATGGGTGCGATTACTTTATATGCTGCTTTGACCGCCTTTCCGCAGCGTTTCCAAGTTGCGTGTCCTGAAATGCGTCTTTGCACATTGAGTCTGTGTTAAGGGCCATCGAGTCACTTTGGTGTAGTGGCTAGGAGCACGGACACTCCTCCGCATGCAGCTGCTGGTGTGACCTTGGGTCAGTCACAATTTCCCTCGGAGCTGTTCTCTCAAGGGCAGTCCTCGAAAGAGCTCTCTCGGCCCCCGCCTACCTCACAGGGGAAGGGGAAGGAGATTGTAAGCTGCTCTGAGACTCCTTCAGGTAGTGAAGGGTGGGGTATAAACCCAATCTCCTCTTATTCTTATTCTTCTGACTTATGGTGACCCTATTATATTAATATTCTCCGAAATGTCCTGTTATTAACAGCCTTGCTCAGGTCTTGTCTTGCAAACGGAGGGCCTTTGTGGCTTCCTTGGTTGAGTCCATCCATCTCCTGTTGGGTCTTCTTCTTTCTCTGCTGCCTTTCACTTCTCCTAGCATGGCTTCAAAAGGGAATTAGATAGGCATATGGAGCAGAGGTCCATCAGTGGCTATTAGCCACAAGGGATAGATAGGGACTCTGGGGCAAGTGATGCTCTGTCTTCTTGGTGCTTGGGGGGGGGCAACAGTGGGAGGGCTTCTAATGTCCTGGCCCCACTGGTGGACCTCCTGATGGCCCCTGGTATTTCTGGCCACTGTGTGACACAGAGTGTTGGACTGGATGGGCCTTTGGCCTGATCCAACATTGGCGTCTCTTATGTTCTTATGGTTGTCTTTTCCAGGGACTCTTTCCTTCTTCTCACAGTGTGACCAAAGTACAATAGCCTCAGTTTAATAATTATAGCTTCTTGGGAAAGTTCAGGCTCAATTTGGTCTGGAAGCCACTTAATGGTCAGTTTGGTGGTCACCGTGTCCGTAAAACTGTGGTCACTGCAGTCCCCTGCTCTGAGCTGGCCCGTGGCCATGACAACTAAGAAGGCTCACGCCAGTGATGGTCATGGTCAGTGTTCCCTCTAAGCTGAGTTAGTGTGAGCCAGCTCACGGTTTTTTAGCCTCTGGCTCACACTTTTTTGTCTTGGCTGAGGATGGATGGCTCCAGAGTAGAGATGTGAAGGCCCGGGAAACAACCGGAAAAATTCGGGGGGGAATCGTTTTTCCCCCGTTTTTTTCCTGAAGCCTTTCCCCCCCCCGAAAAATTGGAAAAATTGGAAAAATTGAAAAAAAGAAAGGAAAGGGAAAAAAATTGATTATGGAACGTTTTATTTTAACACAATGAATAAAATATTTTAAGACAAGGTGTTCAAATATTTTCCAAATCATTTCTAAAAAAATACGTATGGTATCAGATTGATCTAATTTCTGTGCACTGAGGACAAGCAAGTCCTAGGTTACAAACTGAACTCTCCAGTACAAGAACAAGATGCATTTCTTTCTTTAGGAGGCGCTATCGTCACAAGAAAAGAAAAAGGTTTCAGTTTTGGTTTTGCATGTGGGTGGGTATTTTGTTTGTAATAATTGTTTGGGTACACTATATTTTTAATAGGCTAGTTGTGATAATTTCATGCCAAGTAAAAATGTCCATAGTCATATTTTATGTTCCTAAAGTAACAAAATGTCTTTCAATCTGGAAAAGAAAAAAGAAGTGCTAAGGTAGCGTTTTTTTTCAATTTTTCCGAAAATTTCCGTTTTTTTCCGAGCTTCAAAATGTCCAGAAATTTTACATCTCTACTCCAGAGCAAACTAAGTTTTGCAGTGGGCAAATCGCTCGCTCACAACTTTAATGCCAGTGGCTCACAAAGTAGAATTTTTGCTCACAAGACTCCACGGCTTAGTGAGAGGATGGCCACGGGCCAGTTCTGAGCCACGTGTGAGGGAGGGGCCACATCGCTCAGCTTACTGCCAGCGGCCTTCCAGAGCAGTGGCCTACTAAGAACTTTCCTAGTCAATTAATGGGCCAGACGTCCCCAGGGTATCCACTGAGAGCAGGTCTCTACCGGCCTGCGTCTCCTAAAAACAGTCAGCAGGCAGCTCCCACGGGAATCTCTCTCTTTCCTTCTGGCTGCTAACCACCTGGAGCAGGAGAAAGGGGCTTTGCGCTGACATAGGTCCTTTCTGCACGGACAGCTTGCCTCAGAGAATCCAAGGAGTCAAGCCTTCGGGGTTGACTTCACAGTCATGCACATTCCCTCTGCACTCTCCCCCCCCTCTCGGTTTATTATTTGTGTATTGTGTATGCTTCCCCCCTCAAGCCTCTATGGCTCTGTACATCTCTAATCTAACAATCCCACTTTATCGGCGGGTTTTTATGCTAGCGAGATTCAATCTTTTCCCCTCAGCTGTTGTTTTAGGCAGATATAGGGGTATCCCCTATAGGGACAGAACCTGCAATTGTCTCTATAGTGAACCTGATTCAGTTGCTCATATCCTTCTACGTTGTCCTCAATATTCTTCTATGCGTAGCTATCTGATTAGTCCCCACTTACCTACCACAAGGAACCCGACTGACAATGACCTTAAAATTTTATTGTCTGATAAGTCCCCGGCAATTACTTTGTCTGTTGCCGAATTCTTAGCCTATGTTTGGAAGCTTAGGGTAGGGGCGTACAAGCCTCAACCCCCTTGTATTTTTTAGCATTGCTATATTCTCAACTGAGTCTATTATTTCCGAGAAGTTTATAAAAACGATTCCTTGTTGGTGCAGCATGGTGTAAATTGTTATAATCCATGACTTCGTGCTATTTATTTTCTATTTGTTTCATTGTTCTCTTTGCTGCTGTGTTATGCCAATAAAGGTCTATGTATGTATTGTGTATGCATTCTCCATCTACAAGCAAAACCCACGTTCTTGTGTAATTAATATGGAAGTGTCATGTGATGTTGTGTGGGTGGTGTCCAAAGTGTTTTTTTTTTTAAAAAAAATGCCCCACCACAGTTAAAACTTAACTCCTCCCTCCCTCGTTTCCTCCCTCCGTGATGCTGCAAAAAGAAAGGGAAGGGAGGGGGAAATCGAGGCCCCCCACATGGAAGACTGACACATTTGGGAGCAGAGAATCCCCTAGTCCTTTATATTCACTGATTCCTTCTTGTGCTCTCTCTGGCTTTTTAAAAGTTTGCCTGAGTGGGAGGACACGTCCTCTTCTGTCTTTGGAGAAGGAGGGAAAGAAAACAGAACAGGGAGGGAGCATCGACCTAAAGAGAGAGAGGTGGAAATGGGGTGGCGGCGACAGTGGGCAGCACTTAAATACCCGCAGAAACTATTCTACCTTAGGAAGGATTAACAATTTTGAAAGCAGACGAGAACGGAGGATCGCTGCAAAAGGAGTTTTGGTGACTGCAGGGCAACAGTGTGCTGGAAGCGGTCTGAAGGCAGACTCCTGTAAAACAAATGCAGAAACAAGGAAGAGCCCCCAACACAAACTGGAAGTGAGCGCGGGAGGGAATGCAGAACGGAAGAATAGGATGTGCTCAGAATCCGAGGCAAAACATGGGTGCAGGAAGAGCCACAGCCGATGGGTGAACAGTTGGGGGAGGGTCCGTACAGGCAGAAGGGAGAGGTCCCTATTCCTTTTAACCTCAAGGCAGGCAAAAAGGAGGAACTGAAGAGGAAAAGGAGAGCAAACCTTTTGGAGGAGGGAGCGAGGTGTGTGTGAAAGAACTGGCGAAAGGTATCCGCGGCCTCCGGGAAAGAAAGCGGGTGTATTCACACCAATCCCTGTGCCTGTCTTGGGCTTGTTTCCACCGAGCTCTTGCATCTCCTTCTATAACTCTCCGTCTTTCCCCTGTCTTCTTTCTCCAGCCCCAGCCATGCCTCCCCAGAACATCCAGATGAACGCTCTTTCTGCAAGCCAGCTGGAAGTCACATGGGAGCCACCTCCTCTCGACAGCCAGAATGGGAACATACAAGGCTACAAGGCAAGTCAGTTGTGTGTCTCTGTGTGTGTCTGCGTGTGTCTGTGTATGCGCACATCTTACCCCACTTGCAAACTTTTTCAGTGCATGTAACGTTTCCTTCCCGCTTCAGACAGATATAGAAACAGAAATTTGAGCCCGTTGAAGCTCTCAGCTGGGGGTGATTGGCTTTAGGTACAGTATTTTCTTGACATGGATGAAATAGGAAATGTTCTCAGATATAAAAGATCACACAGGTGCGGATCCGAGTCCTTGTGCATGGATTGGGAAGCTGTGATAGGCAGTGCGGGATGCTAACAAACGCGTGCACGCTACAATAGATGTTAACCCCAAGTGTGCACACAAGAGAATACATGTTGGGGGCCTTCCCCTTCCTTCTACATTCTACTCGTAGGAAGAATAGCATGTTTGAACTCAGCATTCGCACTCGTGGGTAGGGTTGGCGACTCCAAGATAATGTTCCCCTCGGGCATGGGAGGTATGAGAGCGTGAGATGGGGAATCCACCCTTCAGCAAAGGCATCTGTTGCATCATGAAAAGAGAACATTTGGTGCTCTTATTCCATAGTGACTGAGGGGAACCTCCATGTTCAGAGGCAGTTAGCTTTTGAATCTCAGTGCCAGGAGGCAATGTCAGGGGAAGGCCTCAGTCTCTTTGCCCTGTTGTTGGCCCTCTAGAGGAACTGGTTGGCCATTGTGTGAGATAGGATGCTGGACTAGATGAACCCCTGGTCTGATCCAGCAGGGCTCTTCTGATGTTTTCATGAAGACCCCAGCCTCTATGCCCTGGTGTTGGCCCTCCAGAGGAGCTGGTTGGCCACTGTGTGAGACAGGATGCTGAACTAGATGGACCACTGGTCTGATCCAGCAAGGCTCTTCTGATGTTTTTATGAAGACCTCAGCCTCTATACCCTGTTCTAGGCCCACCAGAGGAGCTGGTTGGCCACTGTGTGATGCAGGATACTGGACTAGATGGACCACTGGTCTGATCCAGCAAGGCTTCTGATGTTTTTATGAAGACCTCAGCCTTTGTGCCCTGGTGTTGGCCCTCCAGAGGAGCTGGTTGGCCACTGTGTGACGCAGGATGCTGGACTAGATGGACCACTGGTCTGATCCAGCAAGGCTCTTCTGATGTTTTTATGAAGACCTCAGCCTCTATGCCCTTTTGCTGGCCCTCCAGAGGAGCTGGCTGGCCACTGTGTGAGACAGGATGCTGGACTAGATGGACCACTGGTCTGATCCAGCAGGGCTCTTCTGATGTTCTTATAAGGGGAAAGCCTCGGCCTCTCTGCCCTGTTGTTGGCCCTCCAGAGGAACTGGTTGGCTGCTGTGTGAGACAGGATGCTGGACTAGATGGACCCCTGGTCTGATCCAGCAGGGCTCTTCTGATGTTTTTCTCATGGGGTTACAAAGATAACTCTTGAATTACAGAGCAACTTGGCTCAACCCAGCAGCGAGGGAGGTGGTTCAGATTTCCGTGTCCTGTGCTGTGTGCAGTTATGCAGCCCTGGGAATGCTGGGAAGGCACTCGGGGCCACCTCCCACGCCAGGCCTGCTGCTCAGCCAGTCTCCGTGGCCTTCCCTCCTTCTCTGCCCCGCGTGCCGGAGCCACGAACGGAAAAAAAGCCGAGCCAGTTAGAATCCTCTGGCGCTGCAGCTTGGCAGGCCTCAAGCAACCCGGTGTGACCATTTTCTGTGCGTTTTCTTTCTCTTTTGTTTGCGCACAGGCTGTTCTAATGGCTTGGCTTGTCGCGGGCGGCCTCTTGGCTGGGCTCTGAGGTCGAGTCCCTGGCTGGCACCGGACGGGATTGATTAGGCGTTTTGCTTGTCAGGCTCGACCATGGCCAAACAGAGGGCCCGGCGGCGTGGGTGTAATTAGCGCGTCAGCATTGCCGCAACTGAGCCAAGGGCGTGCTAGAGACAGAACAGACCACGCTGGTCCTTCCCCGAGCCTAAGCCACACTGGATGAACACTGGGAAGAGAGGGCAGGGATTATTTCTGTAGAGTAGTGCAGATGAGTTAAGGCAGACAGCCGTGGAGGCGCAGCTGCTGTTGCGTGCGAGGGCCGTGAAGGCAAGCAGCCCCCTCTCTCTCTTTCCACCAGGTCTACTACTTGGAAGCGGACAGCCAGAACGAGACAGAGAAAGTGAAGGTCCTTTTCCTCCCGGAGACCAGCATCCGGCTGAAGAACCTGACCAGCTACACCAGATACCTGGTTCGCATCTCCGCTTTCAATGCGGCGGGAGACGGACCCAAGAGCAGCCCTTCACAAGGCAGGACACACCAGGCCGGTGAGCATCTTCTTCCCCGCTTACAGAAGTGGATCTAAGGCCAGGCCCGTGGCTACAGTGGGGCTTTGGGGGGCTCCGCCCCCTTTCCTGAAGGCACAGCCCCACAAGAATGTCTCCTGTAATGTTTCCCCAATCATTTAAAAACATTTTTAAAGGTGTGTGATCCTTTAAGCAGGGTAAGGTACTGTAGATGACTAATTACCACCCTGAGCAAGAGGGTTGGAGTAGGTGACCTCTAGGATCCCTCCTAACTCTCTGTCGAGAAACTGGTCTCCTTTAAGAGAGTTTTCCTGCCTAAGTGTTAGCTTTCTTGACTGTAGAAGTCATCACCTCCACCTGCCAGCTTGTTCTCAGAATTGTTGCTTGGCTGGCAGAAGGGATTAACTTGCAGCAGCTGAGAACTGTCATCTAAAGTGGTCCACAGCTTGCAATTTAGAGATCTGTCCCGGGAACAGCTCTCTGTTGGCTTCATGGCTTCTCTTTCTGCACTGAGAACTTCAGCCCTGGCAGGAAAAAAATTGCCCACAAGCCACAAAATCCTGGCTACCAGCCTGTCTAAAGCCAGATTTATGCATGCCAATGTGGCTGGAATAAGGGGGGAGGGGCAGCGGGGGGAATGGGCAGGGCCTCTTCAGAAGACAGGCCAGCAGGGTTGGCAGCTCTGGCTTGGGAAAGTTCCGCAGAGCCTGTAAGACGGAACTCTTCCACCAGGCTTTCAACTAGGAGCCGCCACCACTACCACCCATGACCGCGATTAACATCTGCGGTGCAAGGCCAGCCCAATCGACATTATAGGGTACCATCGGGAGCCCAGATACCGAGAACCTTGGTTGCGGTATGATATGTTACACTGCTGTGATTTAAAACTGTGAGCATTTTTAACTGTAAATTATTTAATTGTAAGTTATTTAACTGTTTTAACGGTGTTATGATTGGTGCATTGCACCCAATACTGTTAGCCGCCCTGAGCCTGCTTGCAGGGAGGGCGGGATACAAGTGTGATAAAATAAATAAATAAATTGGGAAATAGCTGGAGATTTTGGGGGCGGAGCCTGAGGAGGGCGGGGTTTGGGGAAGGGAGGGACTTCAGTGTGGTATAACACTGTAGAGCAGTGGTGGCGAACCTATGGCACGGGTGCCAGAGGCGGCACTCAGAGCCCTCTCTGCGGGCACGCGTGCCATCGCCCCAGCCAGGCCCAGACCGTCATTAAAGTGCCAAATTCTCTGCCAAATAATTTTAAATAAATGAAAGCATTTGGGATTGCTTTCCTTACTTTGTTTGGATCATCTTAAGTTAGTGTATGAGTTGTTTTTTCTAAAGTAAGACCTCAGTATTCAGGTTAAATTGCCGTGTTTATTTTATTTAGTTATTTATACATTCCCTTTATATACCGCTCTAACCTTTTTGACAGGCCTCTGAGCGGTTTACATATAGTTCCAAATTCCAGTTCATCTAACTAGGGCCACATTGTCAATGGGCTAATGTCTGCCTGCCAGCACCCTGGGGTTGTTGGTATCTGGCTTCTGGCTTCCTCCTGCGGCTCCGGGTGTCGGCGTTCTTCTGGTGCCCTTCTGGAGCAGGTCTTCTGGGAAGCTTCCTCCGGCAGGCCTCGTTCTGGCGCGCGGCCCCGTGTCAGTTGCAGCCTCGGCTAATGTCCTTGACGGCTCCTGCCGCGCTGCACGTCACAGCGCTGTCCAAGCTTCCGCCTCTCCGGGCTCCGCCTCCGACGTTGGCACTTAGTGATAAATAAGTGGGTTTTGGGTCGCAGTTTGGGCACGCGGTCTCTAAAAGGTTCGCCATCACTGGTGTAGAGACCACCTTCCGAAGTGGCACATTTTCTCCTGGGGAACTGATCACTGTCGCCTGGAGATCAGCTGTAATCCCAAGAGATTTCCAGCTACCTCCTGGAGGTTGGCAACCGTAGGTAGAGGGTCCCATTTCGGAATGTGCAGCCATGGGGGTTTTTTTGGGGGGGGAACTCCCTGCAAAGAGAAAAGTCCAGTGAGCGGGGGGAGGGGGTTTGCTGGGACTGTATCCCTGCTGTGGTTAGGGTTAGGGTTAGGGTTAGGGTTAGAGCCATTTA